GGCTATTGTAAATAGTGCTGCTATGAACATTGGGGTGCAGGTGTCATCCTGAAGTAGATTTCCTTCTGGATACAAGCCCAGGAGTGGGATTCCTGGGTCATATGGTAAGTCTATTCCTAGTCTTTTGAGGAATCTCCACACTGTTTTCCATAGTGGCTGCACCGAACTGCATTCCCACCAGCAGTGTAGGAGGGTTCCCCTTTCTCCACAGCCTCTCACAGGGAGTCTTATTAAATGTTTGATGTCACTGATGTCATTGAGAGTACCAGAGTAGCAGATGAAATCCGGTTTATAAATTCTACAAGGAGAATCAAGACAGTTATATGGGGACTGGCATAGGCATAGAGGTTTTCCTCATTATCCGAAAGTAGATTGTTCCTGTGGAACCTTTTGTAAGCTGAAATGGCGTAAAGCAAAGAACAGTTACCTTGGACACACCTTGCTAAATGATGCATAAAATAAATCAAGATAAAATTCAAATGCTCACAGTTCAAAGCTATGACAGCCTGATGCTGAGATGCTGAGTGAGGTTCTCGAGGAAGAAACTTGGCAGTGTCACTTTCAGTGCTTGGGGTACGTACCGCCTCTATAAATGGCCCCCTGAAAAAACAAATGCTGAACCTATTACACGCTTCACCTTTTTTTGTAATAGTGAAAATCCTTGGATTTTTTGGTTTTGTTCTGTTAACGAAAACAGGTACTACTTTCGGGCTTTTGTAAAAAGCAAAGTGGCACAAAGTGAATTTTTGGAAAGCAGGGGATGCCTGTTGCTAAATGCCATTTCTCCTTTGAGCCATGCAGAATCCTATATGCTGCATATTCTTTGGCATGTCTGTTCTTTGTTTTCCCCGGAATTTAAACTATAAAATGAAGGAAGACAATCACTAGACGTCTATTATATCTCATATAGAGTGCTAAGTACTTCTGCATCATGGTCTCATTTTGACATGGCACCAATTCCAAGAGGGAAAGGGGAATGTATTCAACCCATTTTATAGAGGTCAAGAAATTGAAGGTTTGGTTATTGGTATTTTAGAGAGGAACAAGAAGAAAAGATACTCATCAAAAGTTACATACAGCATAGGATCCCACAGTCCATTTTCTTAAGCTCAAAATATCCATAAGCATGTTTAAAGGAGATGGAAGTGAAGTCACATATTTGAAACCTATTGCTGTGTTTTAAAGGTTCATTTAAAAGTATTTTTCATCTCTAAGTGTTAAGTAAAGTCTTCCAATACTGTACTGATGATGATCTTAATTTTTTTCCCCCTCTCTTTTGATTTCAGAGGAAGAACTTGTCTCTTTTTCTCAGCATTAGTTTGTTAACTTTCTGGGGGACTTTCCTTTTGGGTGCCCGTTTATACTGGATGGGAAACAAACCACCAAGCTTTTCCAACTCTGACAACCCAGCCGCTGATTCGGACAGCCTCCTGGCTCGCACGCTCACCTTCTTCTACTTGCCAACCAAGAACCTGTGGCTGTTGCTATGCCCAGACACCCTCAGTTTTGATTGGTCGATGGATGCCGTGCCTCTGCTCAAAACAGTTTGTGATTGGAGAAACCTACACACTGTGGCCTTCTATACTGGACTCCTCCTCCTCGCCTACTACTGTTTGAAGAGCCCAGGCGTAGAAAGAGAATGCAACGGGAAATTTGTAACAAACGGCAAGCAGAATGCAAATGGACATAGCTGCCATTCAGACGTGGAGTACCGGAACTCAGAGATTAAGCCCAGCTTTGCATCCAAAGTAGAAAATGGCATTAAAAATAATGCATCACAGAGAACACAGCTTCCTTCTACGGAGAACATTGTTGTTCTGTCTTTATCTTTGTTAGTAATACCCTTTGTTCCTGCCACGAACCTGTTTTTCTATGTCGGCTTTGTAATTGCAGAGCGAGTATTGTACATTCCTAGTATGGGCTTCTGCCTCCTCATTACTGTGGGTGCCAGAGCCCTTTATGTCAAAGTCCAAAAGCGGTTTCTCAAGACCTTGATTTTTTATGCAACGGCTACATTAATTGTTTTCTATGGACTCAAGACCGCAATCAGGAATGGAGACTGGCAGAATGAGGAAATGCTCTATAGGTCAGGGATAAAAGTAAACCCTGCCAAAGGTAATATTTTATTTTATGCTTTTGCCTGGACAGTTTACTCTTTCTGCCTTTTTATATCTTTACTTCTTGCCTTAAAACACAGCATTAAGGAAGAAGAGGTCCTATTATGTAATACCTGTATCTTTCTGGTTTTTTTTAAGAGAGAGCAGTACAGCTGCTTTAGAGGCATATCCAGCATTCCATATTTGGGACAGGGATGTGTTTCCCTATGTTCCTGACTATATTTGTCCAGAGGAGTAGCAATCCTGTTGTGTAAAAATACTATCATAAGAATTTAGAAAAATGCTTGGTTGCCACAGTTTAAAATACTGATATGGACGACATCTCTTTTCATCATGTAATAGAAGTCAGGTTATCCTACGTAAGTATACTTTAGCTCTTCCGTTTTCCAAACATCACCTGAGGAAATACCACAAGGCTTACACTGACATCTTTAAGAGATTTGGAGGTAAGGCTACCTTTGAGTCTTGGCATCGTGTCGGTAGGCGTCAGTGTGCACGCGTGCAAGAGTGATTCACCCTTAGCTTTGCAGAGGCTCAATAATCTGGGTGTTGCGAAACAGCATATTCTGCTTTGAATCCTTAAAGTCACTTAAGGAAATACACTTTTCGCTATACAAGGGAAGATTGAGCATCTTTTTCATTATTGTTTTTGATGTAGAAAATTATTTTACCAAATCTCAGAATCTGTCATTAGAGTAGAAAGGAGACTTTAAAGCATAAATGAATAGTCAACAAGCTGTTAACAGTGGTTTCTCTGGTTTAGGCAATGAAATGATGATGGAAGCTAGAGAGCAGTTGAATGAAAATAAATGTACATTTTAAGAGCAGAAATATATCAAAGTACAGAGTGCCAGGGAATCTTGTTCTTCATAAGCCATTTTTCAGTGATTTATCCTTTAAATTACGGTTGCTTGCGTAGCATTTATACATGGCTTTTTCTACTTTTTTCCAACACAGTTCTGTACCAGTAGTCAAATATTGAAAGTATGAAACTGTTCCAAGTGAGTGAAGTGGCCTGCTGATATATATCCAAAGATTTGGACACCCCAGAAACAACTTTGGCATCCTTATATGATTACCAATTAAATCAAGAATTCAGTGGGCAACTATACATTTCTTTAAGCCAAGGGACTAATTGTTGGTACTTATAATGCTTAATAGATTGCAGGGATTTTCTTGGGAGTAGAAACATTAAAATTGAACTAGTACCTAGCATAGAATTCCTGAATTCTTATGGAAAAATCCTTACCATGTGCCTTTTGTAGGTTGTGAGTGCTGCACAGTTTATTGAGTGCCTGAACCCAAATCTTGCCGTAAAAATTGTTGCGATCAGTTCTCTCAGAAGGCTTTTCAGCTAGTTTTCTTTACTGGTAGATATATGTATATAAAACAAGGCTATGTTGCCAGTTTATTTTCTTGGTGTTTAAAAGAGATCCATGCTAGGGAATTAAAAGAAAAACTCCAGCATGTTAATTTCATAGCACGGTTGTTCTCAGGATTTATTAAATTTATTGGTTAAGTTTCAGGTTAAGCTACTGTAACGAAGAGCCAAGATAACAGTGGCTTAAATACGATAGAAGCTTTATTCTTTCATGTAGCAATCTGAGCGTGTGCGGTCTTGAGCTGATAAGATGGCGCCATGGGTTTTCAGGATCCCTGTTCCTTCGCTTTTGTTCCCTTGCCATCTCAGTACTGTCACCCTGTCCACATGGTCCAGGATACCTCATTATCACATCAGCACTTCAGCTAACAGGAAGAGGGAGAGAAAGGGCAAATGGTGGGTGTACCCATTCTGTTCAAGAGCATACCACAGAAATTGCTCCCAGACTATTGGCCACACCTATGTGCATGGGAGGCTGGGAAATATTATCTTTATTCTGGGAAGCCAAGTACCCAGCCACATTTTATTACTCCTGAAGAAGAGGGCAAATGTTGGGATGCTGGTCTAAGCAGCAGTCTCTGTCCCAGAGAAGGCGAAAGCGTTCTGTAAACTCCTATATGACATACCGCTGGCAGTTATGATTCTGACTTTGCTGGGGTTACTCTGGTGACATGGTTAAAATGCTTGATTATTTCTTCATTTATCCATTCACTCAGTAAAATAATTATTAAACATTTCCTTGGTTTCCAGTACATTTCCATGTCTCCTCCCTATTACCTAAGAAGTGCTATAGTATTTAGGTACTCCTAACACAACCGATCAGTAGTATAAGCCCTTTGAGATATCAAAAGTTGAATTCTTGTGAATTTGCTTTTAAAATTTCTTTCTTTTTTTTTTTTAAATGGAGACACTGGGGATTGAACCCAGTATCTCGTACATGCTAAACATGCATTCAACCACTGAGCTATACCCACACACTCTTCCCCAAAATTGAATTCTTATATAACCTCCCTTCCCAACCTGCATCCCAGCCAACTGCAGCATTTACCATCCCAGTTGACGGCAATTCCATTTTCCCCCAAGCTCTGACCAATACTTAGAAGTCATCCATCCATACCTCCTCTTTTTTTTTCCCCTGTATCCTACGTTCTTTTCATCAGCAAATCCTCTCTGCTCCGTCTTCAAAAGTACATCCAGAACTTCACCACGTTTTACCACCTCCGTGTCTCCCATCATGGCCCCAAGCCACCATCGTCTCGCATCAGATTATTACTAAAGGCCTCTCACTTGATCTCCCTGCTTTCTGTTTTCTTCCTTTTTAGCATGGCTTCCTAATGTTTTAGTGAAAGGCATACATGATGTGTCAGGTAATAGGAACTTAGGCAGATAGGCTTAATGTGAGCTTCAATGTTAATCTGGCTGGGAGTTGGATAGGGGTTTAATATTTGCTGTAGCTGTAGGTGCCAGAGGCATCATATTGTGCTGGGGTCCTTGTTCTTGTCCCCCCTGTTGTCTTCAGACTTCCCTAAGAACTCGGAGCCTCGAACCCCATAGATGTGTTGGTTAAATGTTGGGAGGAGAGGTGTTCTCTTGATGATTCAATCCTCGTGCCTCTGGGCTGTAACCTTTGTGAGCATTTCTTTGCTTTCCCTTCCTCTCCTGGTTGGGACAGGAAGGGCAGAGGGGACAGGAGTGAGGGGAGTGCCTGTCTGCCACAGCTTTGGGAAAAGGCTGTGGGAAGGTCTCCATTAGAAAGTACACCTTTGTTATGGAGGAGGACTGGGGCTTATTTCAAAAGGTTTATTTTTCCTCTCCTACAGAGCCAGGAGAGCCCCTTTCTTGGCTCTTCCATGTGAGAACCTGGTGGGGTGCTTGGAGGTAAAAGCCACAAAAGAGTAGAGGCATTAGGACTGTGGCCTCCAGGGGTTTCTCACTCGTACTTCACAAGTCCACCTTCAGCTTCCAGAAACTCTCAAAATTGCCAGTTACTTGTTCCTATCAGCTTCTGCCCCAGGTCATCTCATCTCTGCGGGACTGGATTTTCCTATCTCTCTAAGTTTCAAGGTGATGGTTTGCCCTATGACCTAAATTCACTGATGACTCCAAGAAAAGCCATTGATTTTTCAGTTTGGCTTTTTCTTGCTCTAGGAATGGGGGTGATGAGTTCCAAGCTTTTTACCTGTCTGAGCTGAACTCCTGCTTCTGTTTTTATAAATTAACAGCCCTAATGATTCTTTAGAAACATAAGCCAGAGTAGGACATTCACTGCCCCTACCCACCACGGGCACTCATTTATCCCAAAGTCAAAGCACACGGTCATAGGCTCCACACTACATCTCCCAGCCTTCCCTTCGCTCCAGCCCTCCTGGACCCCAAGTTCTTGCCTCAGGGCTTTTGCAGTTGTCATTGCTTCTTCTTGGAATGTGTTTCCCAGGATAGTCTCACCTCTGTCTCCCTCACCTCTTCTAGATCTTCAGTCATATGTTTCATTCCCAGTAAATGTACTTTATGTAAAATTGGCCACCCTTTGAAAAAATTGCAGCTCTTCCTCTTCCGCTGCCTTATCCAGCATTCTTTATCCTCTTTCTGTGCTTTGTTTTTCTCATAACACTTATTATCTTTTGCCATACTGTGTTTTCCATGTTTACATCTCTGCTGTTTCAATGTGTTGTCAGTATACACTAAAATGTGTGACATAAGAAGTCAAGGAATTGTGCATTTGTAAAATGTATGTAGTGAGTAGGACACTGCCCAGGAGAGAGAAGACTCAGTAATGAATACACTGACAAATCAATGTCAATCACAATCCTTCTCCTCAAAGAGTTGATATAACCTGTTTAGAGATAAGATGTACATGCATTAAAGGAGGTGAAAGTATACAGTATGCTATTGACAGACCAGGTACTGAGGCATGTTCCATGTATAAGATGGGTAGAACTGGGAGCAGAGTTAACTTTGGATTCCCTGACTGCCTTCTGTGACATATGCTTCCATTTTGATACAATGCAAAGCTCTTGAAATCCAGGTTCCTTAATTTTTCTATTTATAACATGCTAATAATATAACTGTGGCTACAGTTACTTCCTTAGCAATTATGAGACTGGTAGTAATCTTCCTTAAGGTAGATTTTCCTTAGTCTGTTATGTTATTTGAGCCTGCCCAATGGTCAGAAACCCTTTAAAGTCAGTCTTTCGTCAGGTTGTCTGAGATTACAGTTATTTCATTGAATTAGGTTTGGTTTTTTTTTCACTCCTTTGAAAGCCTTTTCAAATCTTGGAGTATTTCCGTCTACCATGTGCTTTAACAGAATATGATTTTAAGCCTCATGAAGCATTATAGGTGAAAGTGTCTGCTTTCAGTGATGGGTCCTGCAGACAGCTGCCAGTCATTAGCTGATTGGATGCAAATGATGATGGGTAGAGCCTGTCATGGGGACTGTGTTGCTAATTTATGGTTTAAATCTGGATAGTGGAGAAATGATAGCTGATTTGAACTATGTAAACCACAAGTCCTATCTCATTATGTGGTTAATAATGTCAGGAAAATACTAGACATAGTTGATTACTATAGTTTGCTGATTTCACAATGACTCTTTGCATTTTTGTGCTTTGGAAAGA